CAACATTTTTAAACGATTTTAAGAATTTACATATCACCCAAAAACTATATTTTATTAGATTATAAATATTAATGGAAATATGCAATTTCGAACATTTGAAGTGCAGTTACTTAGGACAAAAAGCCACGTTTTCTCACTAGTTTTCGAGTATTTTTGTGTAAAACACCCAGAAATGTCACGGAAATTTACATGATCTACATTTTGTCCGAATACTTTTGGCAGGTGAGTGTATGCTTACTATATTAATCTGTCCATTTTTAAAAACGATTTGATTGGTTAATTCTATGATCGTGATTTTAAAAATTTGATTTCACACAATCATTAATATTAATAATCGTATGATTATTAAAAAACAAAAACGAAAATTAAAATCTATAAATAAAATTTATATTTATACTGTTATATAATTATTTTATCATCTTTCTGATTTAGAAACAATTTGATTAGTTTGATTTAATAAAACAATTTAATTTGTCAATTTGTAATAATAATCTTATGATCCTGTTGTATGTGAAAATCGAAATTTATAATTAAAATTTTGGGGTGGGGTGTTTGGATATGAAATTCTGATTGAATTTTACATATGTGAATTGCAAATTCACATGGCTTTCATTTTCACGCACAACAGAACCTAAAATAACAATGAAATAGTGAGGTTTTCATTAATAATAAAAAAGCCTTAGTTGTTTGAAGTTGCACGATTTCACAAAAATGAAGATGTTCTTTCCTATTTAGTAAAAGATCTTCTAAACACGTGACAAGAAGGAATTATAAAATTCAGTTCAGAAAACCATTGTAATATTTGTAAGCAATCAACAAACAATACACCACTAACAAATTTATATTCTTCCAATTAAAAAAGGTCAAGACAAAATAAGCAAACTGCATGTGTGGAAAAAGTTAGAAATGTTAAAAAACAAAGTCAGATAACAAATTGAATAAAAATTTAGCATCAAGTGAAGAAGACTTGGATAAAGAAATTTGAATTATTCGTTTTGTTCATTTATTTGAATTATACGTTTTACTTGAATTATTCATTTTATTTGTTTATTCATTTATTTGTTTGTTTGAATTATTCATTTTATTCATTTATTCATTTATTTGTTCAAATTATTTTTATTTGAATTATTTAAATAATTATTAGTTTTATTCATTTATATTTGTTACATTTGTTTATTTGTTATTCTAATTACTCTAATTATTCATTATTCAAATTATTCATTTTATTCATTTATTTGTTTTATTTGTTTATTCAAGTAAAATTTACTTTCAATATAATTTGAATACTCAAATATGATAAATGATAGAATCATGTGACATCAAAGAATGTGAAGATTTATCTTTCTATATTTCTACACATGATTGGTGAAACATAAATTAATAGTAATAATAAGTATGAGGAAATTTGTAACTATGCATGATATTGCAAGTGTGCAATCTGAGTTTACTAATTAATAGGTTATTTAAAGCTCAACACACAGCCTACCTGCTGACTTACAGTCATTACCTTTATGTGACGCACAGCCTACCCACTGAGTTACAGTCACTAGGTTCTATTTAAATAATTATATCCCAAAGGCATCCTCTTGAGATGTATCTGAATAATTAAAAGGGTTCCCAACTAATAATTAAAGGTTGGCCAGACCATTAACCATTAGAAGGGATGGGGGTTCAATCACACTGGGTTTATTAGTTACTTTACAGTCAAAGACTATTTTATGTAAGGTTATATATTTATTAAGAGCTATTATTATGTTGTTGTTATCAATGTTGTTATCAACAATATTATTAACAATTGATTAATTAATGATGATTATTAACTTGGTCTAATACCTCTTGGGGCAGTACAAATAACATGATGTGTGCTATTCTACTCTGCAATAATATGCTTATCAACTAATTACTAATTCTAAATAAATATCTACATCAGATGAGTAGGTTAATAAATATAAATATAGAAATATGAATAGGAATAATGTTTCATCTGACACTGCGCAATGTGAGGCATAGCCGTTACAGTAATATAGAAAGATGTTCATTGGTCGTGATTATACATGCAGCCCAAAGTATTTTGACACTGTCATAAAGGGGGTTACACATGTAGTAAAGGGGTGTTACACTTATGTTTTTAATAGTGAATGCCGTAATTAATTTCTACTTTCTACCATCAAAATTGGAATAATTTTGACCATCAAAATCACCAAACCAATTTGGGCTGCATGTATAGTCGTGATGTAATATTTAGTGCATCACATGACTTCCGTAGTAAATTCGTTCTAATTGGTCAATATTAATCGGGTGATTGATAGGTCTAAGATTTACTATCTCACAATATAAAATTTGTTATTATTATTACAGTCAGGGAATATTCCAAATATGGAATTTCTAAATACTGCAATGATCCACTTTCTAGAATTTCAATAGAATGCAATAACAAATTATGTTACACATGTATTAATATAAATATTATAAATAATTATAAAAATTTATAATATTTATTTGCAAAAAAAAATTCACTTAAAATATATGAATAAAGTATAATTTATATCTTTTTTTTTTTGTATTCAAATTTTTATTGAGTTCTACAAAATGAGTTAATTTAAATTAATATTATTATATAAAAAATATTAACAA